TATATATATATATATATATGTATGTATATATATATATATATATATATATATATATCTTTTGCTAAAATTGCATAAATAAGACTGTATATGTGTACATGTATAGATGAATGTGTATATATATGTATATATATATATATACATATATATATATATATATATATATATATATATATATATATATATATATATATATATATATATATATATATATATATATATATATAATGTGTGACGTTATGCATGTTTACATTGGCTTGACTCCTTCGATGCCGAAGTAGAAATGAAGTCACAATTTTATTTTAATGGGGCCGGCTAGAAGAGTTAATAGACGTTATGCAATCTATGTGCAAGCCTAGTCTATTCCAAAAATATAGGCCTATCTTATTACCACCTTTTTTTTTAATTTTACATATAAGTTATTAAATGTGTCTGATCAGAATCAGGTGTTTTCCCATTGCAAAACAGTTTTCAATACAGCACAACTCGGGCTTATGAAAATATAAATTCGAATTGCGTGTATGTTGTATGTGAACTCTACTTCACCTGCCACGTGTCCCGCCAAGTCCCGAGAGGCAACTTTATCATTCACATCTAAAAAGAAGTCGCTCCTCAGTGTACGTGTTTTTATGTTAAAAACTCCGATTTATTTCTCTATTTTCTGAGCACGAACCGCATTTGAATAATAAATAAAAAAATTATTCAAGCTAACGTCATCTGTAAATAATAAATTATAACAAATTGCGAGAATAGTGATTTTTCACTGTGTAATATATATTTCGTAAAATAAAAAAAAACAACATCAAAGGCATGATGTGTTTCCAACCAGTACCGCTGGCATTGTAACTATCATTTTGGCCAGTTGGACCATACCATTGTGTGCTAATTTTTTAGGTTATACTTTACTTAGATCCAGCGTAAGAAAGTTTATTTACGCGAATATTATTTTTAAATCAAGTTATATCTTAATTTAGCCAAATCCATTGCTAAATAAACCAACATTTTTTTAACATAATTATGGCTGAAATAGTTTAGTAAAGAAGCTCCTTGTTGGTCTAGATTCTAGAGTGTTTCGAAAAAAGCACAAAATAGTTTTCTTAATGACAAAACAAAAAGAAAATAAAACTAACATTTGCATTTGTATTTATTTTATGCTAGTTAACTGTAACTCTAAACGTGATGTATGTATGCTAACGATACTTACATTAAATTGAGTAATTTGTCAAGTGTAGTTATGAGTTTTCATTTTCTTTTTGTTTTCTTGGTAAGCAATAATTGTCTATTTGGTTAAAATTGTATTAAAAGATACGTTGTATGTACTTAAATAAAACATGTTATTATTCAATACAAGTGTTTAACTCCTGAAAAATAGTATTAACTGATGCATGGATCTAATGTTCTAAAAAGTAAGAGATCATATAACCCTGATCTACCACCAAAAAGTTCGTCAACATTATGATAGTTATACTTAGCAAAAGCAGATTATAATTTATTTCTTGCAAGATGTTTACTTCTTTTAACAAATATTTATTTTAAAAGCACATTTAAGTAATAACTAATGTGCCAACATTTAAAGAGTGAAAATGGTTTTAAAATAAATGTCGACATTACTGCTTCGTCATGTTTCGAATTGAATACAACTTTAAATTTCCGTTTCTCAATTTTATATACGAAGTATAGAGAAAGTCTTGTAATCGTGCAAAAAAAATGAGATTTTCGCAAATCTCGACGTTTTACGCCTTACTGAGTCGGAAAAACATAGTTTTGCAATCTTGTCCGTATGTCTGCGTGTGTGTATGTTTGTCTGTCTGTGTGTGTAAATACGATAATGTAAGTAGGCTACCGTTACAGCTAGGTTGATGACGTTTCATACATAAGTATTATATAAAAATCGTAGATCCGTATATATTTGAGCAATTTCCGCTAAATGGAAGTGGAACGTTTACTACTTTGAATTTTTCAAAAGCCTATAACTTGAGTACTATTTCAGATAGGTAAATGAAATTTTACATATAAGTAAAATATATAATTTCTGTCTTCTATAAAATTTTGAGTAATTTCGTTGACCAAAAGTAGTAATTTAGGCTATTTTCGGGTTCTCAAAAAACACATGTGAATTTAAAAAGTACTAATAACACCCCACACTATAAACACATTTTGTTTTGGCGTTCACTTGATGTGCAATTCTTTTTTCTAAGAGATTCTGTTCTATTATAAACAATTTGTTATTATAAATGGATTGAAAATATTGATATTGTCCATATCCCAAGTTGCCATCTCCCGTGGCGTTATATGAGAATGTTCGAGAAAGTTTATGGGAGATCACTTCCGTTTTATTTAAAATTATGTTATATATATATATATATATATATATATATATATATATATATATATATATATATATATATATATATATATATATATATATATATATATATATATGTTTTCTAAATTCATTAATTGTTTCCATTTTTTTAAATAACAATTTTTAATTTGTGTCAAACATAGACAACGATGGGTTACTTTGCTCATTTATACGTTCGTTTTTGAATTACACTGCTAACCTACGAAGTCTTAGAACTCTAGAGGCAAACTGAAAGAAAAACAAACAATCTATAATAATAGTTTCGCTGTCTCTCTATCTATCTATCTGTCTGACAAGAACGCTCTAGAGAAAACACAAGGAATTTAAAAACCTGCACAGTAATTCGAAAAACGAAATATGACGTCGACACATTTAGCGTAGAGTAGAACATAATCTCAAACCAGAGAGTGCACACAGTAATATAATGACGTCATTGAAACATTGAAAAAAAGGAAATGTTGTCTAATCTAAATGGTTTGCGTGAAGAGTTTCTTGCATACAATTCTTCGGGTAGGGGCGAAGCCCCACCCCCGCGTAAGAACGTCTGAGGGGGGTGGGGGTGGGGGGGGGGTTGAGTGGGGGGGTGGTTTTAATTTAGACTTTTTCCTCCCCGGAGAGGGGTGGGGGTACTTGAAATTTTCGGGGGCGGGGGTAGAATTTTCGGGGAGGGGCGGACACTGGAAAAAGTATATAATTATATTTCGTTGAATGGGACGGTAGACATGTTTTTTAGGGGGGGGGGGGGGTTGTGGGTGGGGGGTGGGGGGAGGGGGGGGGTGTGGGGGGGGATGGGGGGTGAGTGGGGGGGGGGTGGTTTTAATTTAGACTTTTTCCTCCCCGGAGAGGGGTGGGGGTACTTGAAATTTTCGGGGGCGGGGGTAGAATTTTCGGGGAGGGGCGGACACTGGAAAAAGTATATAATTATATTTCGTTGAATGGGACGGTAGACATGCTTTTTTTTTGGGGGGGGGGGTGTGTGTGTGGGGGGGGGGGGGGGGGTGGGGGTGAGTGGGGGGTGGTTTTAATTTAGACTTTTTCCTCCCCGGAGAGGGGTGAGGGTACTTGAAATTTTCGGGGGCGGGTGTAGAATTTTCGTGGAGGGGGCGGACACTGGAAAAAGTATATAATTATATTTCGTTGAATGGGACGGTAGACATGTTTTTTTTTGGGGGGGGGTGGGGGTGGGGGGTGGTGTGTGTGTGGGGTGGTGTGTGTAGGGGTGGGGGTGGGGGAGTGGTGGTGTGTGGGGGGGTGGTGTGTGGGGGGGGGGGGTGGGGGGTTGGGGTGGTGTGGGTGGGGGTGGGGGTGGTGTGTGTGGGGGGGGGGGGGGTGGTTTTTGTTTTGAGAAAAGAGACAGCACTATCAACCTAGCGCCCGGTGTATCCTTCCTCAACGGGCCATTTTTCTCGTCTATAATAATAGTTTCGCTGTCTGTCTGTCTATCTGACAAGAACGCTCTGTCTGACAAGAACGCTTTGTCTGACAAGAACGCTCTAGAGAAAACACAAGCAAAATAAAAACATGCACAGTAATTCGAAAAACGAAATATGACGTCGACACATTTAGCGTAGAGTAGAACATAATCTCAAACCAGAGAGTGCACACAGTAAAATGACGTCATTGATTATCGCGTAAACATTGAAAAAAAGGAAATGTTGTCTAATCTAAATGGTTTGCGTGAAGAGTTTCTTGCATACAATTCTTCGGGTAGGGGCGAAGCCCCACCCCCCGCGTAAGAACGTCTGAGCCCCCCCCCCCCTCCACAACTCAAAAGAAATTTCCTCATCGATACTCTATAATAAAATTACCGCCTAATTAATGTGTCTAATCTAAAACGTGGTTTTCTTGCAATGGGACGGTAGACATGTTTTTTTTTTTTGGGGGGGGGGGGGGTGGAGGGGGGGGGTGTGTGTGGGAGGGGTGGGGTGGGGGTGGGGGGTGGTGTGTGGGGGGTGGGTTGGTTTCAGTGTTTCTTTCAGACTTTTTCCTCCCCGGAGAGGGGTGGGGGTACTTGAAATTTTCGGGGGCGGGGGTAGAATTTTCTGGGAGGGGGCGGACACTGGAAAAAGTATATAATTATATTTCGTTGAATGGGACAGTAGACATGTTTTTTGGGGGGTGGGGGGTGGTGGAGGGATGGGGGGGTGGTGGAGGGGTGGGGGGGTGGTGTGTGGGGGGGTGGTGGTGTGTGTGGGGGGGGGGTGGTGGGGGGTGGTGTGGGGGGGGGGGTGGGGGGGTGGTGTGTGGGGGTGGGTTGGTTTCAGTGTTTCTTTCAGACTTTTTCCTCCCCGGAGAGGGGTGGGGGTACTTCAAATTTTCGGGGAGGGGGCGGACACTGGAAAAAGTATATAATTATATTTCGTTGAATGGGACGGTAGACATGTTTTGGGGGGGGTGGGTTGGGGGGGCGGTGTGTGGGAGGGTGGGGGGTGGTGTGTGGGGGTGGGGGTGGTTGGGGTGGGGGGTGGTGTGTGGGGGGTGGTGTGTGGGGGGTGGGTTGGTTTTAGTTTAGAGAAAAGAGACAGCACTATCAGCCTAGCGCCCGTTGTACCCTTCCTCAACGGGCCATTTTTCTCGTACTTTGATATTTAAAGAATAGTATATATTAAAATAATAAATAGTTGTGCAAATCCCTTTAAGTATGCCACACATGTCAGAATAGACATCCCAGAAAGGTTTTAATATGCCAATATATATATTTAATTTAAACTTCAAGATGATAAGTAAAATATGTATTACAACAGTATTCAAACTAACTTTAAACATCAAAATTATAAAAACATAAATAAAAACTGAATAATTAAACACAATTTTCCCGACCTTATAATATGTAAGCTTACAGTATTTCTTAATAATGAAATTTCTAAAGAAAAAACTGCAAGTAAACGCTAAGCGAAAAACAAATAGTTATGCTTAATTCAATCACTTACTGTAATGCAATACAGTTTGAGAATTTTTTTAGTATCACAAATTGTTTTGTAGATAAAATAATATTCTGAGAGAAATGCGTTTTACTAATAGACACAAATACATTAATATACATTTTTTCATCAAGTGTTCTCATAGTAAACTGTCTAATATATGCTTGTCAGACCGCTATTTACTGCTGCATAGGAAATATTCAAGACCAGTTTAATGCTATGTGTACTACTCTTGGACAGTAAACTGGCTTAAACCTGACAAAATAGAAAGGAAATATAGGAATTTTACATACATCGTAAATAAGATAGATGTATAAAAACGTTTGAACTCTACCAGTTGTTTTTTTTTGTTATTTAAAAACTGAAATTAAAGAATAAATAGTTCTATCTGCTGACTTAAAACAAAATATTTCCATACACAATATCCCGCATCAATAATTAGAAACCGTAGAAACAAAGTATGTGGGCCTAAAACCCGATTGTGCTAAACTAAAAAACTGTTGAACTTTTGTGTGAAAATACTCATCCAAACGTCCCAAACAAACTATTCTTGTGTCGGCATAGATTCTGAAGAAATAAAAGTCAAGTTAGAAAATGATCATAATGTTAATAACAATAATAAATCGAACTTTATATTTTTTCGCAAATAGATGTATGCAAGTAAGAAATATTTCTTTTACAAAAAAGTAATACAATAATTGTTATTAGATGGTGGCGTAATACACTAATATATTATCTTTTTACTTATCTTAGGATAATAAATAACAAACGTTTTAATTTAAACAATTAAACCAAACTAACCGTAGGTGTAAGCTATTTTGAATCCGAGTCTAGTAGGTCCGGCATAAGATCCAAATACCAAAAACAGACCGTTAGTAGAGCTGATTGGACTAGGGGTACCCACACCACAGTAAACATCTATCAGAGGATCATTGGCTGACGTTCCATTATAGACTTTAAGATAATCATATTCGCAGTTGTCATCATAGTTTAAATCAAAATCTAAGAAACTGGAGGTACAAGTAAATACAAGTAAATACAACAAAATATTTAAAATTTGCAGAAGCAGTATAACTTTTAACAGAACAGTACACAGAGCAGATCAAAGTATTTCATAAAACAGTGACGTTGTACTGATTGACTAACAAAAAAGTCCAATGATAGACAATAAATAGGTTTGAGTGGTCATATTATTCGGGTTTGATATTTTAATTGAAAGATAAAAATGAACGAGCCGTTTATAATTCCTAGGCGCGAAATTAAAACATGAACATCTATTAAAATAAATTATAATTTTAAATTTTAGTATCTTATCTAGAAACTTAAAAATTGTATCTAATAAAATATGGCATACAATAACTTTAAAAATCTACTTTCAAATTACTGTTCTACATTAAAGCCGATTTTTGCATCACATATAAAGTTTTTTTTTATAAATTAGACTGGATCCTAAGAATACTAATCATCCAAACAATAGCTAAAGGTATTTGCAACTGATCAAAGATAATTTTGCTATTACTTTGCAGAAATAAAAAAAATTCCAAGTGAAACAAATAAATTAATGAATCTAAATCAATATATCATTTTTTAATAATTTAATTTTGTTTTACGAAACACAATATAACATGTTTCAAAATTATTTCAAATTGTACTTCTTTTTACATTTTTAGAACATGTATTACCCTAATGTATATTTCGTAAAAAAACACCTACCGGATAGATGTAATCATTTGTGATCGAGGCGGTAAACTCCAAAAATAACTAACATTATATGGATACCATTGCGGATAGTTAGGTGTAAGAATAAGTCCAGTGTTGTCGGATGCAGCTGCATTCATAGGCAAGTAGTTTGCTGCAATATAAAGATGGTTTAAAAATAAAAACATTTTAAAAAGAAAAGAACGATACTACTGAGATTTAATTTAAATGTGGCACACCTTTACATTCTGATCCATCCAATAAATATCCAGATTGGCAATTACAAGTGTACATGCCATTTGTGTTTGTACATGTCTTGTGACAGGGACTTCTGGGATTACTGCACTCATCTTTTTCTGGAATTAAAATTGTGTTAAAAATAAAAGATTTCTTGCAAAAAGCCTACATATTCATGAGTAAAAAATTGAATAGTATTAAGTGATACACAGGAAGAGGTGCATATTGTAATTGTGTTTAGATTATTTATCAATACAATGAAAATGAGCTGGTCTAAGTTTGTTTGTTATAGGCACTAACAAAAGTAACATAATATGGTCGAATTATGGTACGTATTGTTTAAAAATTATTTTCCAGGAAATCCAATTTTGCTCCCAACTGAATGTTTCAAGTATTCCTTGAATTAAGACAACAATAAATAGATACGTTACTCTAGTTTTGTCATTTTCTTTAGGAAGTAGTATAAAACAATTATCGGACTTTTCGTTGAGACGGGGTGTGTGGGAGTTTTGACAGATTATCCCACACGGTATGCAACACCCAACGTAACACCCATAGTATGCACCACCCAACATAATACCTATAAGTAGTAAATAAGGTCCCCTTTGGTTAGTATTTCTGGCGGAGGCGCAGGGGGAGGGGTAGGCGGAGGCGCAAAGGATATATAGTAAAATACTCCACCACCTGGCGGAGCAGGTGGTGGAGGGGGAGGCGGAGGTACAATGAGATATAGTAAAATACTAGACCACTTGGCGGAGGGTGAAGGAGCCATGGGTGAGGTGGGTGAGGCGGAGATACAATGAGATATAGGAATAGGCGGAGCAGGTGGTGGAGGCGCAGGGTGAGGTGGGTGAGGCGGAGGTACAAAGACATATAGTAAAATACTCCGCCAACTGGCGTTGGCGCAGGGGGTGGCGAAGGCGCTGGGGGAGTAGGTCAGTAGGTCAGTAAGGCAGTGGCGGTGGTGACCTTGTTACGTAATGACCACTGGCGACCTAGTTACATAATTACCACTGGTGATAAGTTACCTGATTTGTTTATTTGTTTGTTTTTAATGAGTTTTTTTATTAGTTCGTTGTTTTTAATTAGTTTAATTTTACTTTTTTTAATTTTTTGATATTTTAGGGAACAAGCTAACCATGTTTTCGATAAAATTTTAATTTTGCTCCCCAAAATTTTTATTTCTTAATTCGATCTAACCCGATCATTTAGGACTTCTTCTACAGCTTACGGTTATCCGTTTATTGCGATGTGAAACATGGTACCCCCGGCAAGTTTTCACACTAATACGCGGACAGCGGCTATCTTCGGGCGGGTATTAGATCATCTATTGCCCGCGAGGCACCATAAACTTTACAGCAATCTAAGGGCCAAGCACTCGTGTACCAGCTGGTGTAGTGACCTTTTCTTTTGTTCTAAAAATAAGTGGGTTAGAAGTTTCTACAAAGTAAAATTTTATATCAAACTCAGTATTAGGGCATGCGCGTAAAAATTATGAATGGGAAGAGATTCATTGATACGCTTGACCAATCATATTATAGTACAGTAAATCAAAATAATTCACAATAGGTTGCAACTAACCACGTGTGCTATGCAGCCATCTTGTTTCTAGATAAACAAAACAACCGTCTGTCTCGTTTGTTTACCTCATTTGCGTTTATTCTTCTATTTGTTGTTTTAAAGTTATACAACAACATTAAGTTTAATAATTGAAACTTTGCCTAGAAATGTACTGTTGATTATCACTGGAAAAATATTAAACACTGCTTCGTACGCTTTATACTAAGCTGAAACAATGCGTCATGGAAATGACTAATAGTTTGAAGAAAGTACTGTCCATCCCCTTTACCCCCTTCATTCCCTTCTCGCCATTAAACCAACGGCGGTTTGTAATCTTGTTACGGTATGCTGTGATAGGTTTGAACGCGTTCATCAGGCTTTACACCGGACTGTATACGACACATGTGTTAATGTTTATGCCCATCTCTCCGTAAAGGGTGTGGTAGCAACGAATGTAAATACTAGATAGGATAGCTGAGAAGCATTCTCTTAGGCCCTGTACTTGACCCTATCTACACAGATGTGTTATTTACGGTTGAATGAAGATTGGTAATCTATGGCTCATCGGTTCTTCGCGCACTATTCAGCGGTGGGGTGGGGTGGAGGGGCTTGCCTAGCCTCAAGCGTTGTACCCAGGGTTGTGTAGTAGGCTATTATTATAAGGCAATAAACTTGTGTAAGCTAGAATTTAAGTAGAGAAAGACATTGTTTTGAAGTGAGAAGACCGGCTAACAAACAAAACTTGATCTGGTTTGACGATAGCTGTCCTGAGAAAACCGCTCGATTGATAGGATGTGAATTACTTAATAGTCATAAATTCATTACCTGTTGTATACATATTTTCTGCTTACATAGAAAAATCTGTCTAAAACTTACAGCATAAATCAAAGCGTATTTTACTAGACAGATGGTTCTTATACATATAGGAAGACGTTTTATCTGTTTTCTATCTGAGAAAACGCAAAGTGCTTTTTCCCGTTCTTCTTTTTACGTTTTCTCAACTTTGCATTTTACTCAAAATTCAACATTTAAATCGCAAAGGCTTTAGAACCCTTTGTCATACAAGACTAAAACATTTCACGTGCATTTAGCATTATACCATCTACAAAACATTAAGTGTACTTTGAGTTTACGACAATACTTTATGAAATAATGATATTTATGTAACACCACCCCCTAATTTTTGCAAATAAATTTACGTAAAAATTTGTATCAAAAATTGAGTACGAGCCATCGCAATGAGTAAACGTAGAAATATATAGTTTGGTTTGAGAAATCTAAATCTTTCATCCACTTTTAAAAATCTCTTATGGGTACGAAGTTATAGCGCTTTGAAAAAGTGTTAGTTTTCACACTTTTTTGCGGTTTCCATTGAAACCAGGACTGCAATTGACGGCTATATCCAAATTTTTTTTTGTCTATAGCTTAACAACTTTAAACATATAAACTTATTAAACACCCAGAAATGTGTTAAATAAAAAAAAGATTCTATCCGTGGTGCCTATCCTTAATTTTAATTTTTAATTTTTAATTTTTTAACTTTTAATTATTTTTTTTAATTTTTAATTTTTTAAATTATAATTTTTTTTTTAATTTTAATTTTTAATTTTAAATTTTTTTATTTTTTAAATTTTTTAATTTAAATGTTTAAATTTTTTTTTAAATTTAAAATTTTAATTTTAATTTGTTTGTTTTAATTGATTTACTTTGTTTGTTTTTTGTTTATTTGTTTTTATTTTATTTTTTTTTTTGACAAGCTTGTAAAAAAATAGAATTTCTTTGTGTCGGGTCCCAACAACCATTAACTTTAGCTGCTACAAATTATTCCACACTTCGGTCGCCAGCGAAGTTTTCGGCGGGTGCCTGTTTGACAGCTACCGGCGGTGACTAATGGCTTTTTCCCAGTCGGCTTGACAGCCGAGCTTGATTTATGGCCGACAGGTACGGGTTCACATGGTGTATTGGAACGTGAGCACCGTCTCCTGTATGCCGCGGTATTCGGAGCAGAGTTGATTTACGATCGTTGAATGGCTTTTCCGCGAATCAATTACTATTTATTTGAATACCGTTCCCACGGGGGTTGTCTCCCCCTGCCTCGCAGGCACGCCAAGGTTATTTCTAACCTACGTTGTTTCTTTGTCCTTCCTCACGCCAGGGTAAAAGTAATTGGTTTTCGGCGCCGGTCTGGCCAAGTATTTACTTTTTATCTTAATACCATCTGGCCAGTACAAGACAGTCTGGCGCCTCACCTACCACTAGTAGTTATACGCACAGTGTCATAGGTTTTTGATCGAGTAAAGGAATAATGTTGAACAACCCGAGTTGATCCCGGGTGTTGTATGTAGACTATCAGAGGTTGTATTACAAATCTAAATTTGTAAGTGGTAAAATACCAGAGGTTCATCCGTTTACTTAATGAATATGATCGTAACCACTCATTTTATGAAAGTATGGTATGGTGACACCATTAATACTACTATCGTCCAGCCCTCCTAACGTGTTTGAGTCGTACGTGAATTCCATTGGACATGAGCTCTAATCCATCACCAACGTACATTGATGTCACACATCAACAACAGTTAGATTTAATGTCAGACAGTTCTGATTTGAGTGTGAGCGCTTTTCGCTTTGAGTGTCGGTGGTTTTTGTTTTCACCGAATCATGTTTAAAAGTTGGTACATACATGTTTTGGAATTGATGGGGCAGAAATTACACCAGAGTGTGACAGGGTTTTGTTTTCAACAACGCAGGTTTCAAAGTTGAATGGGGACGACTATTTATTTGTATGTGGATGGTTTTGGTTTCACCTAGGCAGGTTTCAAATTTGGTACGTGGATGTTTTGGAATTGGTGGGGGCAGAGTTTATACAAGAGTCAGAGGAGTTTTGGTTTCACCGATGCATAGTTCAAAGTTGGTACATGTATATTTTGGAGTTGGTTGTGGTAGAATTTATACTAGAGTGGGACTGATTTTGTTTTCAACAGTTTCAAAGTTGGATGGGAAAGCTGTCACACCTTTTAATCAGATATCACAATAAAGCACAAAAGATCATTTAAATGTATAAAAAAATTATTTACTTTAAACAACTCCTGTAAGTGTGTTGTGTGTATGTGTGCGTGTGTAAATGTGCACCCCGTACAAAAGCACAGTCTGGGTATTGGCGTCGATGTTCATCTTCTACCACATCCCAGCCCCTCAACGTATTCAAACAGAAAACACACTTGACAAGGTCGTCAGGTCCAATGAAAACAAAACCAGTTTTAGCCAAACTGATAGGGTAAACAGGGTAGACCAACACCCCAAAAATATTTGGATTCTTTCCTTCTCATCGTGGAACCTGAGGTCGCTGTCCCTGACGGGGGCTGGGTTGGGTGCTGGTGGAGTCGCATCAAGGGGTTCAATAAAAGTTCCACCTGTCGGCCGCTGTACAAACACTCTCTCATACGCCAGACTCATTCCCCTTGCTTAGTCTCATGAAAGCTACTGATCATCTGTACAGGATACAATCTCTCTTCATCTGGACCAATGTCAAGACCAGTTTCTGTTTGCTCCAACATTG